GTACAAGCACAAAACCAAGCTTTAATAAATCAACAAAGTGCGGCCATTAGGAATTTAGAGACTCAAGTCAGTCAACTTGCGCTTAACCAGAACAATCGAGCCCTTGGTACCTTGCCCAGTAATACAGAGGTCCCTAGAGACCTAGGTAAGGAACATGTGAAAGTAGTGACCCTTAAGAGTGGGAAGGAGTTGAAAGAACAAGTGCCCAAAGATAGTGCACCAATTTTGACAGAAGTTGATGCTACAACATTGGTTCCTTCCAAAGAAAGACCGGTCCTACCCTTAAAGAAACAGGCATTAGAGACCACCACTTCTGTCCCCCCTAGATCAGACTTTCCATTACACTTTCCTGAGGATGCTCTAAAAAATTCAAAAGAAACTGAGGTATTAGAGACCCCTAAGCTTGATGCTAACATTTCATCTGAACCTCAAAAGGGCACCACAAAGACCCAAGGCACTCAAGACCCGTCTTGCTCAACTCATCCAAGTAAGAGTGTGATAAAGCCAGTCCCTCATTATGTTCCCTACCCCAAAGGTTGAGGAATCAAAAGGAGGAACTGCACTTTAAGAAATTCTTGGATGTGTTTAAAGAATTGCACATCAACATCCTGCTTGTTGAGGCAATTGAGCAAATGCCTAGTTATGCCAAGTTTCTGAAAGACATCCTAAGCAAGAAAAAGAAGTTGACTGAATATGAGACAGTAGCCCTAACCGAAGGATGTAGTGCACTTTTGACCAATAGCATACCCCCTAAGTTGAAAGATCCAGTGAGTTTTACCATTCCTTGTTCAATAGGAGGGAAGAAGATAGGGAAAGCCCTATGTGACTTAGGAGCTAGTATCAACCTCATGCCTTTGTCTGTTTTCAACACCTTAGGCATAGGAGAAGCTACACCGACCACAGTCACACTCCAATTGGCCAATAAGTCCATAGCATATCCTAAGAGGAAAATTGAAGATGTTTTGGTCCAAGTTGACAAGTTCATATTTCCGGTGGACTTTATCATTCTAGATTTTGAGGCAGATAAGGATATGCCTATTATCTTAGGAAGACCATTTCTAGCCACCGGAAGAACTTTGATAGACGTCCGAGAAGGAGAATTGACGATGAGACTCCAAGACCAGAATGTCACTTTTAATGTCTTCAACTCTTTAAAGTACCCTGATTACTTGGAAGAGTGTTCAAGAATTTCTGAGATAGAGGATATGTGTTTGGAAGAGGGAATTCACAAGAACCTTAAGTTGGAAGGAGAATATGATGAGGAAATAGAAGAGGAAAGTGTTGAGAAGGAATTAGGAACTGATGTTGTCCCAGTGGATGCTGCAGCATTTGAGCTGCTAGAAAATAATGAGCAAAAAGACTTCACCCCGTCCATAGAATCACCACCTGATTTGGAGTTGAAACAACTCCCATCCCATCTAAAATATGCTTTTCTAGGAGAAGAAGGCAAATTGTCTGTCATTATCTCGTCTACCCTAGAATTGCATCAAGAAAAGAAACTTGTGGATATGTTGAAATTGCATAAGAAAGCCTTAGGATGGACCATTGCTGACCTTAAAGGGATTAGTCCCTCCATTTGTCAACACAAGATCATCCTAGAAGATAGAAATTTCACTTCCATAGAACCCCAACGAAGGCTAAACCCTGTCATGAAAGAGGTAGTCAAAAAGGAGATTTTAAAATGGTTAGATACCGGAATCATTTTCCCGATTGCCAGTAGATCTTGGGTTAGTCCGGTCCAATGTGTTCCAAAAAAAGGAGGGTTCACAGTCATCACAAATGACAAAAATGAACTTATCCTTACGAGACTTGTCTTCGGTTGGAGAATATGCATGAACTATAGGAGACTAAACAAGGCTACCCAAAAAGACCATTTCCCACTACCTTTCATTGACCAAATGTTGGATAGGCTAGCCGAAAAGGAGTTCTATTGTTTCTTGGATGGTTATTCAGGGTACAATCAAATAGCCATTTCTCCGGAAAACCAAGAGAAAACCACCTTTACTTGTCCCCATGGCACCTTTGCTTTCAGAAGAATTCCATTTGGACTTTGTAATGCTCCAACCACCTTTCAAAGGTGTATGATGTCCATCTTTTCTGATATGCTTGAAAAATCCATTGAAATATTTATGGATGATTTTTCTGTGTAGGGTTCATCATTTGACAATTGTTTAAATAATTTGAAAAAGAGCTTGGAAAGGTGTGAGGAAACAGACTTGGTCCTTAACTGGGAGAAATATCATTTCATGGTCAAAGAAGGAATTGTTCTT